AGGAGGAGGAGCAGCAGCAGGAGCAGCAGCAGCAGCAGGAGGAGGAGGAAGAGAAGCAGGAGGAGGAGGAAGAGAAGCAGGAGGAGGAGCAGGAGGGGGAGCAGCAACCATGCTTCTCTTGAGTCTCTGGCAATTTAATACCTTCTCACGAGTCCCGAGAATTCCAAACATAAACTATCTTCAGCTGGAAGAATCGCACCGCCGCCAGGGCACAACACAAATCACAGCAGCTAAGCTGTGAACAATCTGAAGCAGCTCCATATCCCACACCTGGGGTTTAAAAAAAAAACCCATACACCTGTGACATTTTCTGTGTTCTTAAAGAAACTGAAATTCTTACTACAAGCAGCTAGGCCATAAAGATTTTACTTTGTGAAGGGGTTAAAGTGGGCTGGTTATCCTGAGAGCCTGTGGTGATAGAGAGAGAGTTTGGCTTCCTCAGCTTCCTCCAGCTGTCTGCTGCCATGTGACCTCTTCTGCTTCTCCTTCACTGTGCACAGAGCAGCACTCGGCCTTCCGCAGAAGCAGAGCTACGAGCCCAAATAAATGTCTCTTCTTTAGATTTCTGGCTTTGAGTCTAGCCTTTACTGGCTGAGTTCTATTCTTTATAGAGCTTCCAGGTCGAGGTATGGAGAAAATGGAGTGAGACACCGGCCCACAGTCTCCCCGGTAAGCCTCTGGTTCCTCAGGCTTTGGTTCCCCAGGTGACCTGGAGCAGGCAGCTTCCCAGAGACTTGTGAGGAAAGCAGGGTTGGCTGAAAATGGGAGACTCTGACTTCCTGAAAACTCTCTTAGGGAGCCTCCCCTGATGTCCCTTTGGGGTACTGCATTGGCAGTGCGGGTCAGCAGAGAAGGCATGCACCCAGTCCCCAGACCTTATCGCTTTGGATGCTTTACGTCAGTGTCTGAAATGGAAATTGTTCGTTGTATCTTAAGGCAAGGTCTCTAGTAGCCCAGGCTGGCCTCCAACTCACTTTGTGATGTGACCTTGAACACCTGTTCTTTCTGCCTCCAGCTCCCCCATGATAGGATCTGGGCACGCACCATGCCTCCTTCATGTGGTGCTGCAGATGGACCTAAGACTGCGTTTGTGCTAGAGCAACACTCATCAACAGACCCACATTCCCAGGCCCTGCAGCACAGGCTCCTGAAAGGGGGACTCTTTGAGGGGTTGCTCTTTGGAGAAATCCTAGTGATGAAGTGAGAAGGGACATTTCTATACAGAGAGGACAGGGAGGAACCAAATACAGCCACCTTCTCCATGGCTGCTGGCATGGCGCCTGGCTGGGCAAGTGGGATTGGTGGGCTCTCCATTGGTGTGCCAGCAGCAGTGGGGCCCACATGACTCCCCAAAGCCCACTTGGTCCCTGAATGTGGATCTTGTCCCCAGAACAGCAGCAAACACTATGACACCCCAGGTCCCAGCATCCCCTCTGATAACTCGGGTCAAGCTGGACGAGTGAAAGTCACTGCAGGCGGCACATGCCTTCAAGGTCAGCATTAGTACAAGGTCACTGAGGTGGTGGCTTGAGCTAACCTCCCAGCAGAACATTCTGCGACCACACTGCTTGGGAATGGTGGGGACTCCTCTGCCCAGACACACACACACACACACACACACACACACACACACACACACACAGAGAGAGAGAGAGAGAGACAGAGAGAGAGAGAGAGACAGAGACAGAGAGAGAGAGAGAGAGTCAGTCACAGAGGGCAGTAGTCCTTGCATGCTCTGAGCTCCCTGGGTGTCCCTCCATGTGGGAGTTCACTCCTCATCCAAGCGTGCAGTGGTCGTTTTTCTCCTGGGCTTGGTGCCCATCCAAACCCAGTTCCAGCAGGACCCACAAGGCCCGGAGAAGAAAGGGGCATTCTCTTCCGGAGGTCAGAAAGTGGAAACCACAACTTATTGCAACTGCAATGTCAGACATTGAGCAGGCCTGCTGGGCAGGCTGCCCCTGAAGGGCAGGGAGGAGTCTGCAGTGGGCCAGGAGTCTCTCTCTCTCTCTCTCTCTCTCTCTCTGTGTGTGTGTGTGTGTGTGTGTGTGTGTGCGCGCACATGTGTGAGGGAGGTAGATAGATGATAGAGAATGCATGTGTGTAGGCAGGAATGTATGCTAGGGGAGGCGGAGACTCAAGGAAGGCTGTTATGGAATTCTTTGTGGCCAATGCCAGCATGGGCAAAGCTTTCTCTGACTGATAAAGGGAACTCCTGCTGCAATTTTTTTTGTTTGTTTGTTATTTTTGGCCCTGTGAAGAGATTGATCAGATTGACAGCATCTGTTCCCAGAGCCTGGAGTTCAGGGGAATGAAAAGGCAAGGAGCCTCTTTGAATACAGCACAATCATTATGAAGAAGCTGGGTTCTGGGGGCTGAGAGATGGCTCCATGATTGAAGTGTTTGTCACGCCAGCGTGAGAAGCATTTGGATGCTCAGAGTCCTTTGAAGTGTTGGTGGACCTGAGGCCCACCTATAACTCCAACCTTGGAGGGATGAGCTGAGGCCTCTCCGGAGCTAGCTGGCTAGGAAGACTAGCCTTATCAGTGAGCTCCAGATTTGATTAAGAGACCCTGCCTCAGTGAATGAGGTGGAAGAGTGATAGAGGATAATCGTGACATCAATCGTAAGCCGGCACATGCATGCACACAACTGTGCATGCCCATCCACATACATGTATGCTTACACATATACACGCCACACCACACACACAAGTGGAAAAAGGAAAAAGGTTGAGTTCTAGAACTCACCTCATTGTCTGCTGTAATTGTCTGTCTAGTGACATTTAGAATGTGTCAGTCCATGGTCCTCAAGTTCTCTCCATGCCCTGTGACAGAGATGGAGCCCCAGATACCTGGGAACCCTGAGGAAGTTCAGTTGCCACTCAAACAACATGGCATCTTTCCTGGCCAAGCCCTTCCTAGCCTGTGCTGGGGGCCCCAGGACTTAACCTGTCGGCCTTCACTTCCCTTGTCTACATGCTTTGAAGAGCTAGCGTGCAGCTGAGGTGAGAGAGGCAGAGCGTGCTTGTAGCAGGCACGCATCCAGTTTGCTTCTTACGGCTGTGATAAACACCATGGCCAGAAGCGCTTGGAGAGGAGAGGGTCTATCATTGACAGAAGTCAGGGCAGGAGCTGAAGCAGAACCACAGAACACCGCTCATTGGTGTGTTCCTTGTAGCTTGCTCAACCTCTTTCCTGCCCCACCCAGGGCCGCTGGAACCCCTCACATCAATCACTGCTCAGGGGCTCCTCCGCAGGCTCCCCTGCAGACCAACTGGATGAGGCATTTTCTCAACTGAAGTCTCAAGATGGCCCTGGCCTGGGTCAAGCTGACAAACATTTAGCCAGGATAGCACTTGTGGTAGATGTAGCCGGATCGTTTCAGTGCTCAAAGCCTTCTCGTGTTACTGTGACAGAATTACTGACAAGCAGCTTCAGGGGGAAAGGCTTATTTGGACTCCCAGTTTCAGAGGAACAGCGCATCACAGTGGTTGAAGCAGCTGTGCCCATGGCAGCAGAATTGGGGATGTCCAGATAGCACCAATGGACAAGGAAGCTGACAGTTGGACCTCAAGATCCTCCCTACCCACCCCCATAATGTACTTCCTCCTGCTAGGTCCCCAGATTTCAACACTACCATCTGGGAACCAAGTATTTAGACATACAACCTACGATAAAACAAAACCCTGTTGGAAGAAAAATTCTCGTTACATCACTCCACTGCTGTGAGCTCCTGTCCACTGGGGCAGCCTTCTAAATGCACCATCACTGGTTCTGTCCGGCATGTCTCCTAAACTTCCTAAGGCCCCTCTGACTCCCCTGCACTGGCTCCTGGTCCCAGCTCCCAGCAGGTAAAACATAAGCTTTGCAATAACTTGAAAGTCATCAGCATTTGCTCCCCCTATGAATGCTTAGGTTGCTGGATTTTACCACCAGTGGTTTTAAACTCAAGCGCAGGAGTCTGCAAACTTTTTCTGTGTGGAGCAAGACTGTGTTAAGCTTTCTGGGCCGTCCTTTATGTACAAACCAGGGCGTGGGCTAAATCCTGCCTCTTGGGTGGATTTGTGTAGCCCTTGAGCTAATGGTAGCTTTTACACTGCTTAAATGTCAACCCTTAAAAAAACCACCTAGAACTTTCCAAGATGGCTTGGCTGGCTGGGGCAGGGGTGGGTGGGAGGAGAGCCAACATGCTTTTCTTAGGCGTGTTCTGGAGATCAAGTTCAAATCAAAGCTTGCACCTTAGCAACTGGGCCATCTACCAGGCCCCCAAAATGGTTGATTTTTTGTTTGTTTGTTTCAGCAGGTGAATCGTGGTGTCTTGATTCACACCTGTACTCTTAGCACACATCGGAGAGTCATGAGTTTGAGGCCAGCATGAGCTACTTGTGAGACGCTGTCTTGAAAAACAAAAAACCAAACCAAAACAAACAAACAAAAAAGTCCCTTGTGGGGCGGGCACGGAGGCACGTGACTGTAGCTCGGCTGTCATCCAGCTGCTCCAGAGGCCAGATCTCCGGTCACAGTCCAGAGCCAGCGTGGACTTGCCCCCAAAATAAACACATTAAATACCTGTGAGCTCGTGGTTTTTGCCCTATTAGTTTAAGTAAAGTTTTGCTACATATTACAATATTTTACACATAAGCATGTGTGTGTGCGCGCGCGCATGTGCTGGTGCATGCCTGTCATGACACATGGAAGATCAGAGGACAATTTGCAGGAGTTGGTCCCCCTCCTCTCACACTGTGGGTTCTGTGGATTGAACTCAGGTCACCAGGCTTGGTAGCAGTCTCCTTTTACCCACTGAGCCATCTCACCGCTTCCCGTCAATCTAATTTTTAATGAATATCTGTGGGTCCCCCATTCACTCAGCTCCTCATTGTAGCATCTCACGAATATGTATGAACCAGCCCCTGGCACTATAGGTGCTGAATAAATGTGAATCTCAATTATGTACAGCGTTATTAACATACAGACATGAATTCAAACACGTACAAGACACCATGCCTTCCTCCTCATTTATTCCAGGCTGTAAACAATGTGAAAAGTCCCTTTGACAGCTTTCTGGCTTCACCCATTGCGGATGACATGACAGAGTCTCCTTCACAGAAGGTACACGCGAACCAGAACTGGGGGCTGGGAGACAGGACATGCTGGATCTTTCCTTCTTTGGAAAATATGATCTCACCCAGATGTGTCTGGTTTTCAGTAGAAATGGCCCATGTTCCTCGGAAGCGAGGCATCCAGGCCGCTGTTCATCCATATTTCTTGAATGATTTGCTCCCTGCGCTCAATCCTTTCTGCCAGCTCAGCGGCCTCTATGGAGCTGTAGGCTGGATATGAAGTCCTACAGAACCTGGACAGTTCCACAGGAAGCTCGGAGTCTGAGGAGTCCTCCCCTTCCACCTCCTCCTCGCTGTCTTCCTCAGCTTTGTCGCTCTCTAGCACCAGGTGTTCCTCCCCCTGCCTCAGCTCCCGGAAGTCCTTGGTACAGGACACTCTGACCACCAAGGCACACAGCGTGAGGAGCAGGCCGACACAGACACTACACATGAACAGCAGGGCCGCTCTTTCGGGGTGGGCTGGAAGGAGAAGAGAGCACGTGAGGACCTGAAAGGCTTAATTTTGGCTCGCAGTTTTGAAGATTTGCCCTCCATCGTGCCAGGGAAGGCATGGCAACAGGCTCATGTGGTCAAATCTGTTTTCATCCCGGTGGACCAGGACCCAGCACTCTTCCCGACATGGCACTACTGGTGGGAAACACACAGTCAAAACATGGCCTATGGAGGACATTCAGATCCCAGCTATAACAAGCAGCCAGTGGCACTACCATAGCACAAGGCCTCACTGCATCCTAATACAACTCTATTTGTAGATTTGAGCTCAGGGCCATTGATTGGCCACAACCTGAGAACCAGAGGGAATCCTGCAGGGGCCAGCAGCCTCTCCAGGCAGGTCTAGGACTAGAAGCTCCTTGTGGGATATATTTTGGTGACCCCAGCATTGTCTCTGTATATCTCAGCTGCTCCAAGCCTCCTCCAGGCACACTGTCTTTTACTCTGGGAGAAACAATGAAGACTGTTGTCTTTAGAGATGCCATTTCTCCCCAGGGGTCTAGCCTGGAGTCTCAAAACTCCTGGGCTGCTACGATTCGATTCTCCCGTAGTGAGGGATCTCACAGCTGAGCTCTGATGGGAGAGATAGAACCAGGACACTTTATCTTCCTGAAAGTGAACACCTCCCCAGGCAGCTTCCTTCCCGCGGCCCACGCTGTCCCTACAGCGGCACTCCTCAAGTGGGCTGCTCTTTGTGACCCCTGCCCGACATCTCCCCACTATCATCAAGACCCAGATGTCTGAATTAACATTTATTTTTGGCTGAGGACAAGACAGCAGATTGTGTCTGCCATCCTATAAGTATTGAAGAGTCAGAGCGTATAAAGGATTCTCATAGAGACCTACGTCCTTTCCACAGGGAAAAGGGCTACCTTCACCTCTGGGAGTGGTGGCAGATGGAGACACTGACGCCAGTAGCAAAGTCACTAAACAGTGATACCAAAGATGTAAAGACCAGGGCAGGCACCAGGTCAGACTTCCCCTCCCTCTCCCGCAGATCAAAGCCTGTTCCGCCGCTCTGCTCTCTCCTTCTGACATAGCTCAGACACAGCTTGAGTGTCCCTCAGAGTTTTAGGTGTTGGAATTGATACCTTGTATGAGGTGTGAAGAGGGCATTTTCCAGCCTCTAGGGGATGGGGCAGAGCCAGCACCAGGCAGAAACGCACTCCTGTGTCGAGTTTCTGAGGAACGAAGATCGCTCACAGCCCCTTCCTCTCCTGTCCAGGCAAGGGTGTGGTGGTGGCCCTGGGCCTCAGGTCCTGTCAACTCAGGATCAAGGTCTTGCTCCTCCACAAAACTGATTTGTTGCTTTACCTCTTTATTGTTACGGAGGTTTTTCTCCGTGCTAAGTCTGCTCTTAACAATGCCACACATGCTGGGCAGGTGCTCTACCCCTGAGCCACACCCAGCCCTACTTTCCAAGGAACTTAGATTAATCAAATTGAGTCATAATCCTTAGGGCCCATCACATGCTCCCGCAGACCCAGCACCTCCCACCTCCCTGCCCTCCAGGTGTCACGGTCCCCATTCTACTCCTGGGACTCAGGTCCTCTTGCTACAGAATCCCTCTGCGGAGGAGTTCACGTCATGGTCACTGAGATCCAGTGGCCAAGGATGGAGGAGATGAGCTGGGCTCAGTCGTCCCATGGGAATAAAACTTCCCATTCATATGAAGTGACTGTCATACAGTCACCAGATTGGAGGCAGATGGCATGAGGCCTAACCCCTGATGTAGCTAGACTCTTTCCAAAGCCGCCACTGCTGGGGCCCACGTTCAGGCCAGGGCTCTACCTACCGCCCCTGACTTTGTACAAAAAGTCATTTTCTAGAACCAACTGGACCACTTCCGACTGCTTAACCCCTTTCCTCTCATCTCTTTTGGGAAAGTAAGGCATTCTTTTTGTTGTAGTTGAATAGAATCTTCACGGTGTTTTTGTTGCTATTATTCTAAACTTAGCCTTGGTTCATCACAGGCTAGAGGGAATGGCTTATCTGTATTACAGTCCCAGGAGCCTCATGATGGGTGGCCAGTGGCCTTTAGGCCCCATTTGCTCTTTAGATCCTGGCCTGGGGCCAATCCAAGCTCCAGTTCAAATTTAGTCACACCCAGATAAGACACCAGCAAGGGCCTATCTCTTGGGGATTGTGGCCAGAGGCCTCCAGGAGGGAGAAGTGGAAAGCATTTGGAACCTGGTCTGATGGCACTTAGGGTGTGACAGGACTTTCTGTCACAGCTGCAGACCCTGGGGACACTGCAGACCCCGCCCCCAGGAGTGGGCTGTGCTGCTGATTGTCCTCTCTGCAAAGGTCACGTAACTGACTTTAGGACGTGTGATGAAACACCTCCTTCACATAGCTCACCTGATGGCCTACAGTTCCTTTCTCAGAACCACAGAGGCTGCCCTGGCCTTGGCTCCAGATGCCAAAGACACCCCCAAAGCTCTCAGCAGGTTTGCCTGAGGCTGGATACACACACACACACACACACACACACACACACACACACACACACACCACAATCCCAAACAACAGAATACTGAACCACAAAAGGCAGGCTTGTAGGCACTGTTGAGGCAAACACACAAAGCCAGATGCCAATAAGACACTAGTCTGGTGGTCTGGGAGGGACCCTGTTATTTATTTAGAGATTAAAACAAATAAATAAGTCCCTCAGCCAGGGGACACTGGCTTCTGCTGAAGCAGCCAATAAGCTGTCTTCCTCAGAACCACAGGTACATACATAAACACACATGTACAAACACATGCACATACACTACCATCCTCCACTCAAAGGCCCCCATATGATAAACAAGTACCATCAGCCTCGCCTACATATGCTACACACGTATACATGTATA